CCTAATTTGGTCTGGTTCACGAGAGAGGCAAGGGGGAAGAGAGAAATATCCCAGGTGGAGGAGGATGGTCTGAATATGCTGATACCACTCAGCAATCCAACTGGACACAAGAGGAAAATTTTTCACAATGAGAACAGTCAGCCACTGGAATAATCTCCCCAGGGAAGTGGTGGATTCCCCAACACTGGACACTTTTAAGATTCAGGTGGAATGGGTCTGGGACATCTAGTCTAGGTCACGCTTTTGCCTAGAAAGGTTGGACCAGAAGATCCTTGAGGTCCCTTCCAACCTGGTATTCTATGATTCTATGAACAAAACTCGGTCCCCAAAAAGCGTTCAATTATGGGACGCTGACCATTGAGCTCTTTTGCACTGGGCCGTACTTAATGAAAAAGATCAGTTTTACCAACCAGTCTCTGTGTGGCAGAACCTGGAGGCCTTTCACTTCCAATTCATACTTTCTCAGACCCCACTGAGAGCACTGCACTGACCTCTGAATATCTCCAGCATAGACTGGGGGCACCCAAGACATTCAGCTCCCCAGGAGTCTGCCTGAAGCTACCCTGCCAGACTGCTCACAAACATTTTCTGGGCCATTTACTGCTGCTCTGAAGTTTTTTTGAAGTATCCATAGGCTTTTGGTGCAACGGTACCTCCTGGGAACACTTCTGCAGGGAACAGGTAATGATAGTCTTTACCCCAATGATTACATGGTGTCAGGAGGGAAAGGAATGTGAGTCCCAATGGCTCCCCCAAAGTGCCAGAGGCACACCGGCAATTAACTCCCCAAACACAACTCTAAATACTTGTGTTCATTGTAGTTAGCCTCTCTCAAATGCAGTTATTTCCTCTAGCAAAGGAGAACAGCAAAGTTATTTCCTCTAGCAAAGAGAGACAGATGAAAACCCCACACTTACCCCTGGTCTTCTGTTGAGTTGCATCCCCAAACTGGAAATCTCTATTATGACTTCCCCAGCATCTGCCCATTGGGTGGAATGACCTGAAAATCAGGAAGAACAATGCGCCCCAGGATCCCAATCAGTGCTGGCACTCCTAATTGCTGTGCTGCACAATGGGCTGCTGTGTTACCACTGCTAGGAACTGCCCTGGGAACACTGTCATCTTCTGAGTAGTCATCTTGGTCTTTTAAAGTCACCTTAAATAACTAAATAGCATGACTCAGGCCTTTGCTCAGTCACCTGGCAATTTCCTACATTAAGACAGACTGCAGATGTTGTAGAGATAATGTGTAGTTCTCTAAAACAGGGCTGTAACTTACTTCATCGGTCATAAAATTTCAAGATAATAGGAGAGATTTGGACACTCATTTGAAAAGTGGATGTCCAAAACATTAAAAATATATACCTATCAAGGTGATATTTTATAGTAATGTTGCATTTATTAATTTTATAGGGTTAAAAGAATGTTGCAGCCTTGACATGACGGTCCTATAAATGAATGTGTTGTGCAGAACAATGAGAGAATGCTGAAAATTGGCATAAACCATGGGTATAAGCTTGATGAAATTTAGAACAACTGATTAAGTATTAATTGAATTAATTTAACAAACCTTTATAAATAACAAGTTCAGCCTTATTTGAAAAGGCAATTTACTTTAGAAGAGTTTTATGAGCAACTGAATACCACAGACCACAATTTAAGATGAACAGCTATGAAAATTCATGTTTCTTAAAGAATTCTGAAAGATCAGTCCTTATGAATATTTAGTTTCACCATTTTATGTTGACTTGTTCATGTGCCAAAACCCATTCTTTGAGCTTCAAGACACTGTCTCCTAATCTGCTGTATATTGAATAGGCATAACACCTCAGATTTTGAAGGCAATTCTATCACATTTTCCATCTAATCCAAGAATTTAGAACTAACCTGCCTCCTCTGTGTTTGGAATTTTCTATTAACTTGTGAAAAATATACTTTTCTTTCAGATTTTCCATATCATTCATCAAATCTAAGAAACCCCCTTACTCCCATAACACAAGAATTTAGAGTAGAGCTCAATTGCAAAGGTGCTGGTTCTGGTCACCCCTCACTTTTCAACTGCATTGACAATTTTGTTTTGTTGTTCCTGTATAATGAGTACTTTCAATTACTGAATGAACCAGAGTCTTACATCCTTAGTACATATAAATAACAAACATAAAGCTCTGTGAGAAACAGGGAACAAGAGCAGTAAGTAGGAAGCATCAACTGAGCGTTATGCAGAGCTACTGTCTGCTTTTAGAGAGAGGAGCTGCCAAAGGAGGGGGAGAGTTGACCTTAGGGCTAATGCTCCATTTCAGTACAGTCACTGACCACATCCACTGAAAGTTTCACAGTGGGACAGAAATGGCATCTAATATGTCTTAATTTAAATGTTTCTAACTTGACAAAAACAGAGCAAAGCCCCCAGACAGCCTGAAGTGCAGGTACAGACAAAGCTGATGTTTCTCAATTGCCCTTGTGTGAATTTGAAAGAGGACTTATTCTGATGTTCACTTTTCTCTTTCCCACATCCATCATTGCCTTTTCCTCCCAGATTGTGCCTGCACTGTCATCAAGCTCTGTGTGCTCATCTGACTCTTTCTTCCAGCAATTCCTGTAACAGGCTGAGCAGAAATGGCACAGGAACAAAAGATAAAAGTCAAAAAGCAGGAGATGCTATCCAAAAGGAAGGAGTTGGGCATTTCTCTGCTGTTTCTGACATTCATTATTCTTTCTATCCACTACTTTTATTGCCATGGTGTTTAGGAATTTCAGCCCTGGATTCCCATAATGAGCTATTTCTATGAAGTGCTGTACAAAGGCAGAACAAAGAGATGGTCCTTCCTTTAAGATCTTACTGTGGACAACAGCAGATGGTGATGAGCAGACAGAGGAGGAGTACAGGAAAACAACAAGACAACTGTGAAACTAATTAGGATTGTAAAACTCTGGACAAGTCTGGTCACAATAGAAATATTAGTGGGTTTGGAGGGTATGTTATTTCAGCTTCAGAAGCAATGAAGCAGTGATCAAATAAATCTACAGGCAATGTTTTATATGTCCTTGCTTCTGAGAAGGGAAAATCCAGTAGAAAACACCTCAAATCAGCATAGACGCAAACAAAAATATGGACCCTCTATATAAAAATCAACACTTTTCTTTCCCTCTTTTTGTTAGCCTTGCACTACTGCAGGTAACTCAAAACATAGCTCTGTTTTATTCCATACTTAAGGAGAGTTAACTATTCTTTTCATGTGTTCAGATGTCCTGCGAGGGCCAAATGAATGCTCCAAAGTTTCCTTTTTTCCTATGTGGCAGTTGTTTTTTTCTGTTTTTCTGTAGGGACGCTGCTCACACATGATACCTATTTCTGCCATTCTCAGGAGAGTACTTGCTTCTGAAGAACAACAAGGTCCCTGTGTTAATGGTGCTTAATTGAAAATAGAAATAGACACAGTCTTTCAGTTTAGAAATTGCAAACTCTGCTTTTCCGTTCAGCACCACTTTCTTTCTTCCTGAGACATCCACAGGCTGTCATTGCCTCCACATTAGTCACGTCTCAGAGATGGCAGAATCAGCTAAGAATTTATAAATTGCCTTTATATCTTGAACTGTTTGGGCTTCAGATTCCTTCCTGGTTCTCCTATGTTCATTCTTCAGCTTGTGCCATTCGTCACTCCTGCTCCTTGCTGTTATGTTTGACAGGGAGCTGTTCATTAGAAATATCCTTTCTTACAGCTCTCTTTGCATTTCTAACTTGCTTCAAGTTATTATTCTATATAAAGCAATGTGGTGCTTCTCTCTGATTTATCTCAGTAGGTCTTAGTACAACGTTAATCGTCAAGTTATGACTGTGTATTGGGTGAAGGAATGCGTGGGTAGCATTTGTCTCTGAGAGAAGGGAGTCCAAGAGCCAGCCATAAGGATATTATTAACTTTGTGTCTTAGGTTAAAATACTAGCATGCTTCTTTAGTGCACTGAAAATCAGACCTAAATGTTTTATCTAATATTCTAGGCTTCAACAACAAAAGAACCCCACAACCCAAATTCCAGCTTGATTCTGCCATCCCCAAAGCAGACACTGACATGCCAAAATAGCTGTGAAATAAGTGTGTTTCCAATGTAAAATATTCATGGATCACATCATGACAAGTGTGTTTCCTTCCAAATGTTCCTTCCATTACAGTTGGCACTCCAGCCATGGTGAGTCTGGGTAATGGGAGAGCCACCTTCCCTGCACTGGGAAGATGGAGACAGTAATCTTCCTGCCCATGTACCTCATGGCTGACCTCTGTGTAACACTTTGCAAAAGCAGTCAGCACTAGTTAACTTTTTTTTTTATTCTTTTATTCTTTTAAATTGATTCTTTTAAGTACCAGAAAACTTCCTATACATAAAGAAAAAAAAAAAAAATCAGAAAAGAATAGGTGGAACACTATTAAATGTGTATTATACATTTTGCCAGATATACCCATATTTGCAGTAGTATTCAACATGGGAAACATGTTGTTATATGAATTTCAGTAAATACTGAAAAATATATTCAATATATAAATATTTTTCTATAGGCATAAATATAACTAAATAAATATATTAAAACTATATTAACATATAAAGTAAATAGATACATTATATATGTATAAATTTATAGAACACAAACATATTAATGTTAATAACATTTATGTTACTATAGCATGAATATATTAAGATATATATACATATAAAAAAGATTATATTTTTATGTGTCTGGGTAAAATATTACTAACAGGGTGGAGGGGACTTATCTCAGCCTGCTTTGGCCTCCTAAAGGTTAGGTGACTCTATAGTCAGTGAGAACCTCAGCATGGGATAACCTCTCCTACACCTGAGACAGGACTGTAAGATTCCTCACTTTTAGCCATCTTAATTTTGTGCAGCTAGTACCATCTGATACATACAAACAAAATGTACAAAGTATACGATTTCAGAGGAATTAATATATTAATATACCTTCTCATATGGAGCCCTAACATTTTATACAGGACCAGATCTCTTCAGCTGCACTGATTAATATTGCACTGGTAAGATCCTCACCAAAACCAGTGAAACTGCAAATGGAGTAAAGTACTGCCTGGCATTTGGTCCACAGCATTCACACAGAGCAAGGCTCTATACTGAAGTTTCGCATACATGCTGCAATCTACATAATATATATTGCGATCCTAACATTCTCCAGTTCCGTTGAATACCCTTTGGCAGAAGCAGATTATTAGTCAGCATGAGAAAGTCTGGCAGAGCAGCCTTGAGGTCAGTCACATTTACAAGCAAAATAGGAACAGCTTTCTTGAGTAAAGGGACATCTTTACTTAAGTGTGGTGGTCTATCATTGCTGTAAAAAGAGAAGATGCTCAGGGTAGTGAGCCAGAGGCTTTTCATTGGACCTGAATATCACCTTTTCAGTGGAATGAATCAGACTCATGAACCCTTAATTTCACCACCTTTGGGTTCTTCAGAAGCCACCCTGCATTTTTATCAAAAAAGATCAAAGACAAATTAGACAACGGTTCAAAGCTTTGCTAGGGAGGTTCAGACCAAGCATTAGGAAGCATTTCTCAGAGTGGGTGGTCAAACACTGGGACAGGCTTCCTAGAGAGGTCCCCAAGCCTGTCAGTGTTGATGAGTCATTTGGACAATGCCCTTAACAACATGCTTTAACCTTTGGTCAGTCCTTAAGTGGTCAGGCAGTTGGACTAGATGAGGTCCCTTCCAACTGAAATAGTCTAGTCTGTTCTAGACAATGAAACTTAGCCTGAGAGAGATAACACATATCCTGCCATTTTCCCCTGCATTCCCAGTGTCTTAATGAATTACTCAGTGTGAGCTACTGTTGGGTTAGCCTGTTCAGTATTTCTGAAAGTGTATCTCCTGCTCTTCTCCGGGTTGGCTTCAGAGTGTAGACATCTTATCACGAATGAGCATACGCCAATGGCTTTTGTCCCACCTGCCTGCAGTCAAAGGGGAAAAAAAAAAGCTGAAAACAAGGTGATCCATAACAGAACTTACAGGAAACTATTGCGAACATCAGCTTGCAATGTCTTTTAAATTACCTTTGGACACCCCAGGAGGGTTGGTGAGTACAGCACTGTGCAATTGCCTTCCATTTACCTGAATATTTTTCATGTATATTTTTACATGGATATTTCTTATGTATATTTGCAACAGTAAAGAACAGAGAGCATTGTTGTGGATTACTTCCTGAATAATTTTGGTAAATGATTTTCTGGCCTTGAAGGACCTGAAGGGGGAATGCTTCAACAATGGCTAAAGGGAAGTACTGTGCTCTTAATTTTTTCTTCGAGGGAGGTGGATTTTCCCCTCCCTTTTTACAAGATACTGGGTTTATGGGCAATTACTTGCCTTGGTGCTCCATATAACACTATTGTATACTGTCTGACCTCCTCATTAATTATGCTAAGCAAAGCAGCTGCTTCCCACTAACTGATGAAATAAAACGTAATAGCTTGCTTGCCTGAGGACATTGGCTCTCCAAGTCAAAAAAAGACAGAAGCAAAGTTCGACCTTTAATCTAGTCTGAAGTTTAGATGCATGCCAGGGGTTGTTGGAGATTGGACTCCCACACATGCTTCGACACTGCTGACTCCAGTGTCTGCTTGGCAGTGCAACACATCAGTAACTAGGGCTGGAGCTGAAGCCCTTCTTTCTCCTCCACCAAGCTGTAAAGTAAGTGCCTGTGATGTAAAGAAGTGAAAATATGGTTTGAGTGTTAATGACAGCTCCTGCTAAGGTTGATAAGCTGCTCTATTCTGAATGTCACTTCCTAGGCACTTGAGGAATTTGCAAAGGGAGCATACATTTATAGGTGATACCCATGGAAGAGAATTTCACCATAGCCCGAAATAAGTATTTTTTGAAGAATGGCTAAGTAAAGCTAAAAAAGGCACCTCGGTTGATGCCATCTGGTGCTGCCCATTAATCAGACAACTATTCTGTTTTAATTAGGGACTAGCCCTGGTACTCCTTGTTATATCAGTAGCACCACAGGCACAGATACAGAGAGCTCTTTATGTTCTTAATTCCCACTTTGTCCTTTACTACTCAATAATTTTAAAGAGAGTTAGTTTTCCACAGGGATATTAAGTGATTTCAAAACTTTGTGGGTGTTATCCTTACTCTTCACGTAGACTTCAGTAAAACAAAATACTTCTCTGCAGCAGTAAGCTCTGGACGTTACAGCTACAAGGACACATTACAAACCAATAGGAGGGTTTGCTTCCCATGTTTACATGTGATAAACTTGAGACATGGAAGAACTGTGTTACCCAAATTCATAGTGATTGGAAAATAAGCAGTCTGAGTTCTGCTTTTTAGTCTCTGAAAATAAAGTCTGCTGAAGGACATTGCTATGTGTAAAGGAAAACAAGGAGAAATCTTTCTTTCCCTCATAACTTATTAAAGGGAAAAAAAAAAAGAAGGGATCCTTGTGGTCATCATGAGTACCTGGGGGTATCCCATCGTGGAGAAACAACTGCTCTATTGTTTTGGGAGCTTTACTTTGTCATTATAGTGCCAGAGGTCTGAGCAGAGTGAGGGAAAGACCCTTCCTGGGCCTGTTTTTCAGATGCCTTGCAGGCGAAGAGGACGACTTTCCTTCTTGGCCCTCTGCCACTCCGTTAGCTGGGCTGCAGTGAGCCGTGTTTATAGTTCACATGGCTGAAGATAATCCCGACAATGCACACAGTATGAGGAGAGTACAGCTGGGCTGCTGGGAAAATAAAACATCGGAGGATGAAAAAGCAGAGGAGGTGGGGGTTTGGGAGCTCCAGGCTTCTCCCCATCCAGCCAGGGCAATCAACACAGTCATAAATTAGAAATTTATTCCAAGACAACACATAAGGTACTCAGAAGTCATCATCATCACAAGGCTCTTGTTCACAGAGTCCACACGTAGTTGGAGGGGAAAAAGCAAGTCTGCAAAGGGAATTGTTATTTTTATCAGTAGTTAGTCATTATTTGTGGTCTTTCCAGATAAGAAGGCAGAACATAACTGCAGTACTTATCACCAACATTATCTGCCATTAGACACAACTGAACTGGATTATTCCTTCTATTTTTTATTTGTTTACATTTTTCAGCCTCAGAGCAGTTGCAGAACTCAGCTCCATAGTCTCCCTTTTTGTCATCCTAACTAACTTATTAAACAACAGCTTTTTCCGAAACTGAAGAAGTTCATTTTTGACATGTGTGTGAGGCCTTTGTGGCATTAAATGTGCCTCTGACCTCGTATGGAAAGAAAATCCTTTTAAATTTGTCTATTTAAGTATAATATAACATTGATACATGCTCCTCATTAATCTAGTCTTAAACTTTATGATCTGAAACACTGTAGTACCCATTAATACTGTTTTTAATGACAGAATATAAATTCTGTGAGGTACAGAATGTACTTGACGGTCTCTTGTTCTACTTGAAGGACAAGTTCAATAAATAGAGTATAAGTAACACATATTGCAAGAAAAGTTATCGAGATCATTGAAGCCAGCATTACATAAGTTTCTGAGGCATTCTGTGTTTTCTCTGGACTGTACAGCAGTCCCGAAGTCTTTCCTACTTTTGCCTGAAAATGTCAGTTGTTGCAAAAATTTGTTAACTGGTTTGGGTGAGCAGTATATCTGCCCATAGTTACTTTTCAAGTTGTTTGCTCGGGTTATTTACTGGCTTTATCATGCTGGGTTATAGTGCGTAACTTGTAGCGCCTGGGCTTGATGACTGGAAAAGTTTAACAGGATAGCATTCGAGAGCAATTACAGGAAAAAATAAAGACAGTAAAACAACCACCTCTTACAATTTCAGATCTGATAGAGATTTTAACAGAGCAAATATGGAGCAAACCCTACAAACAGCTCAAGTAACAAAAGCTGCCACCCTACAGGCAGCTGCAAGGTTATTTATTCACACATACATTTGTAAATCTTCTCCTCATCATTCAGTCAGCTCCTGGGATAGTCCCAAACAGTGTTCATCAGGCCCCTGTAATTGTAAAAATCTCTGATCCTCTGGCCTGGAACTGTGTCTGACAAACCCCTGATTAGCTTCAAACACCAAGTGTTGTTAACTCCCCTGCCCCCAACCTCTACAAAACCTGTCCTTCCTTAATGGTGGAATTCCATCTTTTCCTCCAATTCCCATACACTGTTTAGTCTGGGACTATGCCCAGGTATAAACTCTAGCAAAGTAAGAAATAGAGACTAGACAGAAACATATTCCTTCTCATATTCCTTCCCTTTGAGGGTTGCCATGACATATGGAAAGCAGGCAGCTTTTGTCTTTCCAGAATGTAGTCCCCATAGTTTTTCTTTTCCCCCTCAAGGCCTGTATGGCGGATGCATAGTATGACAAAAGTCTGAATTTATTACAGATTAAGTCACACGAAAAATAACACTAATATTAAATAAAGATTTTTTAATTTATTTTTTTTTTAGGAAAGAACATAGAGATAAGGAATGAAAGTAATGTATTGACTGGCTTATGAAGTTACAAATTTCAGTTGAAGTCATTGTTTCCCAGCTCAATTTTTACCATATTCCAGGCTCCACCATTTGGATACCACAGGAGTGAGCAGAGCACATTAAGGATAGTTTAACCTGGCCCAGGATATCTCCTCCTTACTCTAGTCTGAAAATTTTGCTTTCTGGAACTGAGAAACATGAAGAAACCCCAAAATGGAGTCTTCAGCAGTGTTCTGTCTTTTGGGTCCATGGCATTAATTACTGGTTTGGGTCCACAAAATTAACATAAACCATTTATTTGCTTGGATGCTTTAAATAAACTACAAAAGATTAAAACTGGACAAAAAGGCAATGGCTGACTTTAAAGCATAAAGCAGCGGTGCCAAGGCAAGGGCCCATGTGCTACAAATGCACAGGAGTTGTGACGGGAACCAAATTTGACCTTTTTATTCGTTCCAGGAAAATCTTATTCATCTGCGACACCAAAAATGCTGCCTGTGCCTCTTTTGTTTCAGCGAGGCTGGGAAACAGGAATAAAGCAGCGGTAAGACAAAAGCTATTCTTGCAGATTTCCCAGCTCAGCTAAACCCAGGACTGACTGGAAAGCCCCCAAGAAAGCCTGCAGACTCCCAGCCTGACCCGGAGGCTCCTGGAGCCTTATCCATAAGGAACAGGGATGTGAAGGTCAGGCTTGGAAAGCGGCAGGAATAGCCTTTGGCGTGGTATTTCTGTATTGCTGCTTCCTGCCTGTGCTGAAGTAAGGAAGAGTAAAGTACGTGGCTTTTTAAAGCAAGGTTCTCAGGGCCTCAGTTTGGTGTCCTGGGCTGACAAAGGTCAGGAGCCAGGCAGCAGGGCTAATGAGATTGCGTGGGATATAAGTGTCCGGTAGATGTGGCGTGCTGTCCCTTATATAGCAAGCACCGTTAAGTGGATAAAAGAGGGTGCTGGGGAACCGGCGTCAGGGTGCCGAGCCTATTTCTGCAGCACTTTTCTTGCAGCTGATGCAACCGGCTCCAGGTACTGTCTACCTTGGTTTCCTCTGCGAGAGAAGCTTGCTGCAAAGGCCACTTGCAGTCCTAGGCAAATGCTTTGATATCTACTGATAGAAAAGATACTTCAGAAGTGATAAACATTAGTATTTCTATAGTGCAGTGCTGAAGGATGAAGGAGCACTTGATACTGTTATCTCTGACAGAAGGATGCAGTGGTGTCTAAATCACATTAGTCTGTAATTTTTGTATAAAATCCATGTTTTCATATTTTCTTTCTGTTCTGTCCACACTAAACTGTAACAAGATATACCCACAACATTAGTATAATAAAACTATTGCAGTTCATATCTATGGTGTTGCTGTTAATATTTAATGAACTATGAGACAGGTGTACCATTTTATAAGGCAATGATATGTTTCCTGCCTAAATAAACTACAAATGCTGAATGGCTGAATAGTTTCACCCCTACAATGGGAACATAGAATCATAGAATAATTAGGGTTGGAAAGGACCTTAAGATCATCTAGTTCCAACCCCCCTGCCGTGGGCAGGGACACCTTAAGCTAAATCATATCACCCAAGGCCTTGTCCAACCTGGTCTTGAACACTGCCAGGGATGGAGCATTCACAACCTCCCTGGGCAACCCATTCCAGTGCCTCACCACCCTAACAGGAAAGAATTTCCTCCTTATATGCAATCTAAACTTCCCCTGTTTAAGTTTTAACCCATCACCCCTTGTCCTATCACTACAGTCCCTAATGAAAAGTCCCTCTCCAGCATCCCTATAGGCCCCCTTCAGATACTGGAAGGCTGCTAGGAGGTCTCCACGCAGCCTTCCCTTCTCCAGGCTGAACAGCCCCAACTTTCTCAGCCTGTCTTCATATGGGAGGTGCTCCAGTCCCCTGATCATCCTTGTGGCCCTCCTCTGGACTTGTCCCAACAGTTCCATGTCCTTTTTATGTTGAGGACACCAGAACTGCACACAATACTCCAGGTGAGGTCTCACAAGAGCAGAGTAGAGGGGCAGGATCACCTCCTTCGACCTGCTGGTCACGCTCCTTTTGATGCAGCCCAGGATACGGTTGGCTTTCGGGGCTGTGAGCGCACACTGAAGCCAGCCCATGTTCATTTTCTCATCAACCAACACCACCAAGTCCTTCTCCTCAGGGCTGCTTTGAATCTCTTCTCTGCCCAACCTGTACCTGTTCCTGGGATTGCTCCGACCCAGGTGTAGGACCTTGCACTTGTCATGGTTAAACTTCATGAGGCTGGCAAAATTGCTAAGGGAAATAGGATGTCTATTGTATTTTCTGGTGCTGTCACTGTTTAGGAAAGACAAAGTCTCCTAAACTGCCTGCCAATTGAGTTTTCTGTGTTCAGCTCCAGCTTCTCTGTCTTAGAAACTGTCCCATGAGACTCCAGCTGCTCAGGAGAGAAGCATAGAGCAGCTACCAGATCTACAGCAAGAACAAAATGGTGCTATTTAATCTTGTCCACTTCAAAATCTATCTTTCCTAAAGCTACAGCAAGCAGAACAAAAAAAGTGCCATGCTTTATTTTTGTTTAGTTCGAAGTAGTCTGCTGGAGGGCAGGGTCAGAGCATCATCTGTGTCTGACACAAGTCAGTAGAGCTCCAATGCTGGGATGTGACGGGTAAGAGTTTGCCTAATTGCATGGTGCACTCAGAGCATCCTGAAATGAAGCCAAGATGAGCATCTGTGCTAGAAATTCAACCCCATGATCAAGGTCTTCTTTGTTCTGCCTCTTGCAGAATCTGAGCTTTTATTTTAGGTTTTAACTAAAAGGCTTTTGTGCTAGTTTTAGGATGTTGCAGATTGTCTAAGAGGAGAAGAATACCTTTTGGATATTTTGGAACTGAACATCTATGACATACAAATGAAGAGAACCTCAGCGACCCATGTTGTCATGTGTACTCATATCTACAGCTGTCAGAACTATAAAACATAAAGCCATAAGAAGTTATGGTGACATAATCCTTTGTCACATGTAAACGCAAGATTCACAGTACGTCCTCCTGCTTTGTGCAGCCTTACATTTCAGCCTGCCTGTCATGCATGGGCAATGTTACACTCTTGTTTCTGTCTCTCGGAGAGTGCTCATCAGCCTGACTTGTTATCTCCAGGCACTAAGGTCTTTCAGTGAGTGAGTCCCTCGTGGAGGAGCCTCCTGAAAGAAGCTGTGCACCTTCCAAGCAGGATGTCAGACTGCTTTTTCTGGTCAGCCTTACTTTCACCAAATTGGTTCCTATCTGCCCATTATGATGCTGGTCATGATGAGTCCAAGACTTCAACTTCCAGCAGTGAAGTGAACAATTCCTTTACAACACACAGTGCTAACAGAGTCACTTATATACAGGAAGAATAGGCAGATGCTGCTGTTAATTTGAATGGCTCCATTTTTCCTGATCTGTACTTGATTTACAAATGTATAAATAACTCTACACATCT